AACAAGAATAAGAACAAAAACAAGAAAAGCAGAAACTACAACTACAACGAATGCTATTGCAGCTATAAGTGCTAACTACTACAACTTTCTGCATGCATCTTATCAAAGAATTCTGGTGAGTTTTCGGTTTTCTTCTGTTTCATCATCTCTCATGTATTTGTTTGTTTATGATTTGCACTTTTTTTTGTTTTTTTTTTCTTTGGCGAGGTGTTACACTTTTACTTTTTTGTTTCTATTCGCTTATATATCATACTTCTACTTGTTTTTTCGTTTGTTTCCTCTTTTTCTTTTATTTCTGTTCACGTGTTACATTCCCTCTTCTACTCGTTTGCTTTTATCTGATCAGCTATAACATTTCTTCTTTTCTTTCTTTTTCCCCCGGCATTACACAACAACAACAACAACAACAACAACAACAACAACTACTACTACTACTACTACTACTATTATTATTATTATTATATTTTACTATATTTCTTTTTTTTTTATTTGTTAGCTTTCTGCGCTCAATCCTTTCAACTCCATTCCACCCGCACAGCAGCAGAGACAGACAGACCCCTTAGCTGGTCACTGCTGTATATAAGTGTATGTTCTATAAATAAATAAATAAATAAATTAATTAATTAATTAATTAATTAATTATATTTGAGAGAGAGACAGGTAAGCAGCAATCCTTAAACCAGAAAGAGTTTGTGTGTTTTTCTGATCCACAGGGAGAGGCAGCAGAGCCCAACCCAAGAAAACACAAAACAAGAAAAGTAACAACAACCTGTCTTGCAGCAGAAGTGAACTGCAGCAGCAACATGCTGCTGCTGCTGCTGCTTGCTGCTGCTGTTTGCTGCTGCTGCTGCACCAAACACGCCACCACCAAGCTGCGTGGTGCATGCGTTTGACAAGAAAAGAAAATTAACTAAGAAGAGAGAAAAACGGAGAAAGAGAGAGATAGAGACAAATCAGGAGGAGACAGAAAAAGGAGACATTAAAAAGCCGAAGCAAACACAGTAAAAAGAAGAGAGAAAAGAAAAAAGAAGAAGACAAAAGAAGCAGAGAAAGAAAAAAAAAGAGACAAAAACAAAGTAAAAACAAAGTAAAACGGAAATTCATTCTTTATCTGTTGTTATAACATAACAATTATCATCTCGCTGTTCACTCCTTCTATCCATAGCTCCCTGCTGCAGTTGCTGCTGCTCCAGCTGCTGCTGCTGCTGCTGCTGCTGTTGCTTCCGCTGCTGCTGCTGCTGCTGCTGCTGCTGCTGCTGCTGCCAGGGGTGTTCATCTACGTCTGTTACTACAGCCGGACGTATTTTAAACCGCCAAAGGAAGCAGCAAGCCAACAGAAAACCAACAACGCCGTTCAAAGACCACAAATATATCACCTGCACAAACAACAAAAAAAATATAAAAAAAAAACGATAAAAATAATAAAAATAAAAAAATATGATAGAAATAATAATAATAATAATAATAACAACAACAATAACAGCAACAACAACAACAACAATAATAATAGTAAATAATAATTCTACTACGAATAGTAATAACAAAAAAAAAACAAAAATAACAACAACAACAACGACAACAATAATAATAATAAATAATAATAATAATAATAATAATACCAACAATAACAACAATAATATTAATAATAACTGTAAAACAACAAAACAGTAATAGCAATACTCATAAAAATAAAAATAAAAATAAAAATAAAAATAAAAATAAAAATAACAGCATCAATAATAATGGCAAAAGCAATAAACAACACCAACAACAATAACAAAATAAAAAAAAAAAAAAACAACAGAAACAATAAAACAACTACCAACAAAAAAAGTAAAAACAAAACAAAACCA